AAGTATCCAACTGTGTAGTGAGCACATTTAGCATTGACAGTGTTAGGAAATAATTAGAGTCTTCCTCAAACTTTTTTTTTTTTTTTTTTTTTTTTGTCTCAGAACTTTTCAACTGAAACAATATGATTCCAAAGAATGCTTGTTTACGGGGTTACAGCTACCAATATTTACTTTATCAGAAGTTAAAGTGGGGAAACCTTTAAACACACGAGAATACACTGCATGCATCCCAGTAACTGTCAGCGCTGTGCTGTACCACACATCTGTGGCCTCTGGAAAACTCCACTGTGCATGTGCACGAGACAGATGGAGAGAGAGGGGCTGGGCTGGAGGATGGCATCCAGGAAGGCCTGGAGGAGGAGGGAAGATTTAGGAAGGCTACGGGAAGATGGGAAACAAGGACTGGAAACAAGGCGAGAAGGGTGCATTCATCCAGGTGGAAAGCCTGGTGAAGGCCAAGTACAAAGGCACATGCACACGCCATGGTGCCAAAAGAGCTGGCCCCCAAGGGACCATGGTGGGCGTGGCAGGGACATGTCCGAGTTTGGTTTCAGCCTCAGTTTGCGGTCCAAATCTGCAATTCAGTTTTGGCTTTGGCCTTGCCTTAGGCACCAAATATCAGAATACCTAATTCAGTGCCATTCTTGGACCCTCCAAGCTGGCGTGTGACCGATGATACTTTCATATCTGAACCATGTAAAAAATGTTAGCAATAGCATAAGGTATGTCGTTCATATTTATGGATAATATCTAAATGTTCACTTTCAAATGTAGGCAGGAATTCTAGAAGCAACGTCGAATAAAAATCTTGTCAGTCAATTGAAGTATTAAATATGAATTATAATGAATGGGTTTTGAAAATTCTTAATTTTCTTTGTAAAACAGATCTGAAGAGTTTTCAAGTCATTGAATAGGGAAATAAAACATAAGTTAATACAGATGTTAAGACAGGCTGCACTAGTCAATTTTAGGAGGAACGTAATATACTTTTTGATCCAAAATATTTATAAAAATGTAAGTAATAATGCAAGGCAGGGTCATAGAGGCAGTTTATGACATGAAGGCTTTTGTCAAATTGTTTGCTATAGTAACATTCATAACATAAGATGATTCTTAAAGATGTATTTAATTTTTTAGTAAGTTAATTCTATTTCAGTCATGAGCTTTTCAAGAAAAAGACCTATCTGGGAATTTTTCCTCCTATCTTGTGAGAACGAATCAAAAGCAGAATACTGACACTGTTCCCTTAAAATTTCCCAAGGAGGCAACATAATGTCATTTGTGATAAATCATTGTCAGTCCAGTCATGATGATGACTAGAAAAAGCACGAAGAAGAAAGGAAAGCGTTCGAGAAAAACGAGGTATTCAAAAGGTTCTTGCTCCTCCCCTGACAGCAGTGGACGTGAGCACATGTTTGGAATCACATGTTTACAGGCTGGTGACGGCAGCCACTTGTGCAAAGTCCATCTTAAACTTTACATTACTCTGTCACATCATTCATTGTAGGATGGTGGTTCTAGTTGCAGCTTCTAGTGTATGTTGATTTTTAGCATTCATCACTCCTCCAGAATATATACTCCAGGTACCTCCATGTTCAAATTCCGACGTGGCCACTTACCGTGTGCCTTTGGGCAAATGACGTAACCTCTCGGTGTCCTGAAGTCTGGCCCTAAGTAAGTGCGCGATCATGCTGGCCCTTCCATGCAGGGAACAATGAGGACAGGAACCTGACCTCGCTTGGCCTGCTGTGGGTGGGACCCTGGGAAGAGGAATACTCATTCCCAGGGGTGAGTGGGAGGCCATTTTAGACACTGGTCAAGTGAGTGACATGACAATGCTGAGATGTGATTCCGGCTCCGGTATATACGGACGGAAACACTGGATGGGAATTCACTGTACGAGTCGGCAGGAAGGCCAAAGAGAGGGCAGCAGTTTAGATCGCTGGACTTAATCCTTGCATGCATGAAAATCTTTTTAAATAACCGACATCCCTCATGATGTCGTTTATGTACGTTTTCACCTGGCCAAGAGACTTCCTCTATATTTTCACTCTACTTATTGTTTCTCAAATCATATCCCTCACATTTACTCCTAAACTTCTCTCAGGGCCTTTAATTCTATAGCATATACAAGTTTTAATCAGAAAATCAAATCATTTATTGAATGTACTTATCAATGTTACCTTATCGTAAGCATGACAGTTTTGGGTCATTGTAACTTATAACAATTAACTTACATTAATAAGTTTTACATATGCTTGTTTGAAGTAGCATGTTTTTTATACTTCTAGGTGGTTTTTGAAGGAAGCGCAAGTGAATTACAAAGATGTATGAAGAAGCAAAAGAAAATACACAAGTATGATGATGTGAATGCCGCCCCGTTGCATAATGCTGCAGAAGAAGGTGAAGTTGAGCTGATGGAGATGATCATCAATGACTCCTCTTGTGAAGGTAACAAAATATCAATCACAGTGATTGCTACCTGTTCATCATCCCATGAGATTCATTGGGAAGAGGGGTATGAGGTAGATGGTTCCAGGTTATAAATGGTCTGAACATCCCCACAGACCATTGTTGCTCCACCTTTTCTGCTGAAATATTGCCAAGGCCGGTGCATAGACCTGGGACACTGCACAGCAAGCACCAATTTTCTTTGAAGTTTCCTGATAGGTCATAAAAATTCATACACATTTTATGTATCTTCCTAGACTATTTCCATTGAAATAGTCTACATTCAGTTGCTTATCACTGAACAAAACTGACACTCTAAGAAGATATGGCATAGCCACCATCCCCCACCCCCAGCCTCATACACTGAACCGCATTTGAAAAACTCAACTGTAGTAAAATAAGGAAGGTGGATGCCTCAGAGATGTAAGCAGTGAGGTGGGATGATGAGGCCTTAATAATTTAAGGTAATGTCAATATTATAGAAGATGCACTGGAAGTGGTGGAAGCCCAATTAGAAAGCTATTTCGGCGTAAAGAGGGCATGGGATTCCACCAGGGTTTTGAGGTTGGAGTAAGGAGAAAGGGAGACATTCAAGAACTATTTTTAGTGAACATTTTGCACACCCACCCTCAGAAGTCAAAGAGCATTTTGCTAATCAATCAGTATAACCTGTGGCAAGAAATCTGGAAATGTTACCTGAAACTTCCTCCGCCCCACAAAAAGGCCTGAAGATTCCTGGCTTTGAACATGCAAGCATTGAAGGACCAATAGCAAATTTATCAACACTTGGTACGGAAGAGCTTCGGCAATGAGAACACTATCTCAAGCAGAAGAGAGATAAGTTGATGTCCATGAGAAAGGATATGAGGACCAAGCAGATGCAAAATTCGGAACAGAAAGAAAAACCTGCTGAGGAGGCAGAGGAAATGACAGAGAAACCAGAAATGACAGCAGAAGAGAAGCAAACATTGTTAAAGAGGAGATTGCTTGCAGAGAAACTTAAAGAAGTTATTAATAAGTAAATTTAAAACCAATTTAGCAAAACAAATTCAAATTTTCTTAAAAATAAATTATTGAAGACTTACACCGAAAAAAAAAAGAAAAAAGAACTATTTTGCACATAGGGTCAACAGTGCTTGACGAAAGGCTGACTGGGAGGAGTCGGTGGCAAGGAGATGAGCTGACTTTGAGGCTCCTAATTTAGGAGATTGGGCTGGTAGTATAGCCGTCCAGAAAAGCAGGCATAGAAGAAAACAGAAGAAACGTGAGTGTGGGGTGGGAGGGGATAATGAATTGGGTTTTGGCTGTACTGAGTTTGGAACACCCAGGGGACATCCACTTGGAAATATCCAGCAGACAACTGGGACTATAGAAGGAAAGGAGCCAGCCCTGCAGGGACACTGTGGCATAGGAGGTAGCTGGGGCTGTGGACAAGCATGGAAATCCTTTAGGAGACCATGAAACTGCCAATAAAGGTAGCTAAGGGGCCAGTACCAGCACTAAGGGTCAGATGGCAGAGGAAAAGCCCGCAGCGATGCGTAAGAGTGAGCACACACACGACAAGGGAGAAGGTATTGGGAGAGATGAGTTGGCAGATCAGCTGCCACGAAGGGATCCGGTAGGAACAAGATCACAATACACCTTACAGTAGACGGCCTCGAGGACCTCTGCAAAAATGATTTCTGAAAAGCGGTGGAGATAAAAGCCAAATTCAATTATTTAATTAGTGAATGGAAGTCTGTAAGTGTAGGCCCCTGTTGAATTAAGTTTGGTGCTGACTGAAATGCTGAATAAAGTGCTTTGACTTCATTAGACAGAATGGACAAGAGGTGTGTGTGTGTGTGTGTGTGTGTGTGTGTGTGTGTGTGTGTGTGTGTGTGGTGTTGTGGTTGAGAATGAGGTACTTGTAATGAATGAAAGGATACAGTGCAGAGATAAATTTTAAAAAGGACAGACATGACAGCACGGTTCCAGGTACTGTAGATGGTTCTCAAATCATTTCTGTAAGTGGCTACTTTTCCTCCTCTTCGGACGTGAAAATATACTGCCACTAATTAAAAAGGTTGATCAAGCAGTCAGTTATGTCTCTTTTAGAATAGACGTAAGATGCTACAGTATGAAAAGGCATATTGTTATGCTGAGCTCGCAGGGTAAAAGTAAAATATATCGTATTGCAGAAATACATGGAAGTCATGTGTGATATCAGGGACTCAAGCTCTAATTTCATTCTTGTGGTTTATTAGTAGTGTGTCTTTATTCTCATTTACATTTTCTGAAGCACTGATATGGGCCAAGCACTCTGCTAAGATCTTTGAAAACATAATTTGATATTCTCCTCCCAACGCTGCAAGTATATATTGGGTTGTTGGAAAAGTCATGACGTACTTTTTCTGTTTCTCGTTGCAAAAATGCGTCATGACTTTTCTGACAACCCAATATACATTTTCTTTCCCTCCCTCCCTTCCTTCCTTTTTTGTTTTCAACCAAATTTGAATATGAGAAAACCAAAGTTCAAAGAATTAAGGCACCTTCCCAAACTCTGTACTAGCTGTGTACTGTTGGCGACATTTTGAGCCTCTCTAAGGCCTCAGGGCCTTCAGCTTTCTGATAATTGGTCCTGGTTCCTTGTGGGCTATTGGATGGTGAATGAAATACTGGTTATATGGATCCTGGTAGAGTGCCTGGCACATAATTATGGCTTTCATTAAGCTCAATATGTTATAACAATCCCCAAATTAATACCATAGATAAAAACATGTAGCAATAGAAAGATCTATTTCTTATCGTTGCTATAGACAGGCATCTACCTCATTGGACAAAATCAGTGTCATAATTCTGTGCATCCTCTACAGGTGTCCCTTAGATGTTTCTTCAGAATGGAAGCTGTATTTTTATTTTGCATCAGGAGGGTGAAGCCTGCACAGTAGCACTTGGCACTTAGCTTTGAAGTGAATAGGGATGCAGTGGGTGTTCAATCCAGTCCAAGCAAAACCTAACTTGTATTTTGGTCTCTTTTTTTCTAGCGCTGAACGCGATGGATGATTATGGAAACACTGCTCTGCACTGGGCTGCAGAGAAAAACCAGGTTGAAAGCGTTAAGTTTCTTCTTAGCAAAGGAGCGAACCCAAACATTCGGAACTGCAGTATGATGGCGCCCCTCCATCTCGCCGTGCAGGGCTTGCACAACCAGGTGGTGAAGGTACGCGTGGGCTGGGACCCACGTCCGCTGTCTCCGCTGGGGCCAGGATGGCCAACCTGAGCTGCCAGCGCAAATACAATGTGATGATTCCACTGTTAGCTTGACTTCTGACCAACTGATGATGATGATGATGATGATGATGATGATGATGCAGTCATCTTTAGCAAACGGTTCTTACTGACCAAGCATTCGTCTAAGGGCTTTATATGTTTTAGTTTTTTTAAAAAATCCTCATTCAAACAAACTATGAAGTTAGCTTACTGTTATTCCCATTTCGTAGCTGAGGAAACTGAGGCCCAGAGAATGAAATCGTTTGCTTGATGTCATATAACTGGTAAAAGCAAGGATTAATAATTTTGTTCTTAAAGCAAGTTAATGCTTTGCTGCTTTTTCTTGACTGACTTAATGATTAAAAGGAAGAAGGTGATGAATGCCTCAGGGAAGACAGAAAACATAATTATGATTTACTATTTTCTTTCTAGTGGATGGCATGTGATAGTCTTAGCAGAAGACACTGTGGTACTACTGGGAAATTTCTTACTGTTTTTCAAGACTTTTCTTTTCAGAGTAAGTTTGGTCAAATAGACGAAACCACGGTCAATGCCTAAAGGGTAAAGTTTAGGCCATGGCTTTTACGTTATATGTCAAAGTCTCATGGACACACTAGAAAACACATGCTTGCTTAAAGAGGAATCAGTTTACAGATGGATCACACCCCAGAACTAGATAGCTCTGTCCTGATTCTAACTCATAGCACAGGATACTGTGATCACATGTTCAAGTGCTTCCCTCCCCCTCTGGCTGGTTATCCTTGAAGAGGGGGCCGTGTGTGACTCATCTCAGTATCTCAAGTCCTCAGCACTGCTGATAAATGACGGCTGTTGAATGAACGAATGAACAAACAAATGGGTAAACCTGGGTTCTGGCTGAAGGGTGGGGAGAGCTTGGGTATCAGAACCTAAGAGGAGTCAGGAAGGCCCCTTGAGGAGGTTATGGCAAAGGCCTCTGCCAGCGGCCTGTTTGTTTTTCAAATGTCTGCATTATTCAGGAGCCAGAGACTGCTTCTATATCATCTGGGTCGGGCCACTAGTGACTGCAAGAACCCCACCCCCAGAGACCTCACGTAGTGTTTCTCCAAGGAACTCTTGGGCTTCCTCTGAAGGTTCTTTTCAGGAACAAATGCCCATTGACTTAATTAATCCTGGCTCCGAAAGTGTGATTTGGGAATTCAATGGCAGGTAACAGTTGAAAGGCTGTTGTTAATTAGAAGTCAGAATTCTTCAGGCCCACAAATGCAGAAAGGTAAATATCACATAGAAAGAGAAAAGAAAGCTTAGAAACAAGCCCACCACTGATTTATAAACTAGAATGGCGGCTATGACAAAGATTTTCCTGGGTGACACCAGAACAAGAAGCAAAATTGGGTTATAAGAGAATTGACGTTTGCCAGAATACTTGTATTCTAGGTGAAAAGAAAAATGACTAGAGGGGGGTAAATAAACATTTCTTCCTCCTTCCCTCTCTCCCTTCTTCATCCTGTCCCTCTCCCCACTTCCCTTCCTTTCTCCATCTCTCCCTTCTCTCTCTCCCGTGTACCTCCCCAGCCCACACATTCCAAATGCGCCACAGATTTTTCATGAAGATACTGGTTAACACAGCTCACTTAATACAAGTGAGAAATACTAAGGGAGCTCTATGTTAACTAGTATCTACAACTCATATTCTACGTCCAGTTCCACGACTCCATATTGCCTTCACATCGCCATTATTTCATCTATTTGAGAAATGTCTGTGGTACCCGCTACGAGCAAGGTTTTGTGCCAGATGCTGTGGGAGAGGGATGAAAAAAGATGAGTAGGGACATGGTCCCTGGCATCGGAGAGCTTACAATCTAGGAGAAGACAAGGACGCTGTTGGGAAACCGGCAGGTTAACCTTTGACTGTTGTGCCCCTCTTTTGGGTAGGTCTTGATTGAGCACAGCAGCACGGATATTAATTTGGAAGGAGAAAATGGAAACACTGCTGTGATAATCGCATGCTCCAAAGATAACAGTGAGGCACTGCAGATGCTGGTTTGTATTTCAATCATATTTTTTTCTGTTTTCTTTCCCTCTTCATTAGTACAGCATGAATCATTGTTATTTACAACTCTCAGTTTCTCTTAGCAAACTATGAAATATAGAGAATATGTCATAAAAGAGTTCTATGTTTTTCTTTATGAACACAGCCCTTAAACCTGAAATGGATCTGAGATTGCTTACAGAACGCTAACAGGGAAGCATTAAAGAAAATATGAGAAGGTCGATGTGAAAAGAAAGTTTTGAAAGGAAAAATTAAGGTGGTCTGGCTAGAATACAAAATACTAAGTATGATAGCTTGTATGTTAGTTAATAAACGTGGGTCATACACTTGACTCTGAGCTTCTGGATAAGTCAAAGGAAAGATAAATGTAGTCAACTGCAGACTTACTGTTGGGCCCATGAAATAAAAGCCAAGAGAAACATAGCCATTTATGTCACCAAGACGAGAAGAAATTATTGCCATGGGTTCTCACCAAGGGAGCCCTGTGTGAGGAACAAGTAAGGCCCTTAGCCACAGTACTAAAAGCAGGGCCCGCCTTCTCTCTGGGGTGACAGTTTCTGGGGCGGCCCAGCAGAACCCTGGGCGCGCCGATCTAAATGCCTGACTCCTGTTCCATGCAATGCCCCTTCCCAGGGTGGTACCAGCATCCCAGTAAATAGCTTCTCTCAAATATTACTTAATCACCTGTATGTTATTCAAGCCACATTCTATATTTTTACCACTTGCTCTTCCCGCCCCACCTTCCCAGAGAGTATGAAAATGAAATAAAAGAATTTTAAAATCTCTCACTACTACTTAAATTTACAAATATGGCCTAACATATTTACTGGATGTCTTGGAGAAAAATGCATGTTCTTATAAATTGTCATGATTGTACCACAAAGAGAATAAAAATAAATTAACTAACACTCAAGCCAAGAATTTAGAAGAGAGCCTCAAATAAACCAAAAGAAAATTGGAATAAATAAATAAATAAATAGTAAAGTTGAAAAAAAATAATTTTGAATTATTTGATAAATGAAGAGTTCTTTAAAGGAGGTAATGAAATAGACAAAGATCAGCAAGTCTAACTAAATCAGAGGAAGATAAAGCACACATAATTAAAATTAGAAATAATAAAGGGGTTTACCTGGAAATGATGGTAATTTTTAAATGACAAAAGATCAGTATGCATAATTATATCCTAAAAAATTTGAAAATCCTTTTTTAATGGATTAATAGCTGAAAGTAATTAAAATTTTAAAGTTAACTGAAAAAAAAGAAAGATGTGTAGGAAACCACAAATCATTAATATTACATGCTCATAGATTTTACAAGTTCTTTCCAACTTTTAAGGAAAATGTTTCCATTTTAGTTTACCTTCTTACAGCACAAGAAAACAGTGAAAACATCCAGATTAATTTTGTGAAGCAAATGTAATAATAACTTCAAAACTTGAGAGCTCCCCCCAAAAGAAAAATGTAGATGAATTTTGCGATATAAATAAATATAAATGCAAAACCTTAAAAATACTAGCAATTAAGTCATCAAAATAATTAAAAGAATAACATAAAATACCTGTTGGCTTTATGCAGAGAATATACAGATAGTTCAATATTGGCTTATAACAAATCAATGAACCTGAGCAGATAAAGCATATAATTATATCTATAAGACAACACTCCATAGAAGATTGGCAAGGAGCACATAAAAGGTTGGCAAGGAGCACATAAAGTTTAACTAATTTCTCTAATCAAAGAGAAACATGTTAAAACAATGAGATTTTTTTTTTCATGTCATATTGGAAGGATGAAAAAACCTTGTTGCTATACAGTGTTAGAAAAATTTTGATGAGTTGGGGAATTTCATTCACTGTGGATGTGAATACTTTTTACTCACTGATTCCAATTCTTGGAATACATCCCGAGGAGATAATTAAAGTGATCCCTGATGTTCACATCAGTGGTATTATATATATATATCAGAGGGAGAAAACTGAAAAAAAAAATTAAAGTTCAATTAGTAAGATTCACTGTATAAAGTTTCGTGTACCCCAGAATGGAATATGTACTTGATAAAATCATATTTTTAAAGAATATTGTTAAGTAAAAACTTTTTTGAACAGTAGGGTCACACAGTATACACATAAAAATTACCTTTGCAAAGAAATAAGACAAAACATATATTGTCGTCTAAAATGTAAAACAGTGCTGTCCCTAAAAGGTGACATTACAGGTAATATTTGCTTCTTCACACTTTTCTGCTTTTTCACAGTCTTTTCTTTAGTGATAATAAAAGGTACTTAAAACAAAACCAAAGTCCAACGATCTATAGAAAATAATAATTGAAAATGATTGACTCAGAGGTCAAGGTAACATGATTCAGTTATTCCAACATCTTTTAGTAGAGAACTTCCACTAGTGAAAAATACCTGATTTTCATAGTTAACAAAAGTGCTGGTCTAACCATTTCCTAATTTTACATAAATAAAAGGAGAAGAATCTGGGAAACAGTGTCACCTTATTTGTAGAAGGAATTGAGAGGGTATAGGAAGAGTCATGCTAATGTTTAAAAATATCTCATTCATCCCATTGAAAAATGGGTTGAGTTTATTTAGTTTTCTGGGGTATCCAGATTGATGTTTTTCTGTCTACACTGTTACCCCCTCTTTGGAAAAAATAAAGTATCTGTATTTCAGAACCTTAGCATCGTTCCAAGATTACCTTCTTACCTAGATTTCTCATCATTTGAAGCTGTTCTCTGTAGCTTTACATAGGCACAGAATAGAGAAATGGCCTGGGAGAGGTATGTACATTCTTGTCCATCCTTGCGGTGTGGGGTTTAACTTGTAACCTTTGCCATTTTTCTTGTTCTTTCTTTTCCTGCAGTTAAATAAGGGAGCTAAGCCATGTAAATCAAATAAGTGGGGATGTTTTCCTATTCACCAGGCTGCCTTTTCGGGTGCCAAAAAATGCATGGAAATCATATTAAAGTTTGGTGAGTAGAGACTTTTCTACATTATATACTATAAAGAAGCCTCTACTATTGGTGGATGCTATTAATTTGAAAAATATTTAATAGAATTTATACCTGGCCTTTTATGTATATCCAAATGTCCTTTCTTTCTTTTTTTTTTTTTAAAAAATTCCTTTTATTTATTTATAGTATTTGTTATTTTGAATTTTATTTTCTTCTAAAGGTGAAGAAAATGGGTATAACAGACAAGCTCATATTAACTTTGTGAATAACGGGAAAGCCAGCCCTCTCCACATGGCAGTTCAAAGTGGCGACTTGGAAATGATTAAAATGTGCCTGGACAACGGTGCCCAGTTGGAACTGATGGAGGTACTCGTTCATATTCTACATGAGATTTTTATTTTAGAGCTGTCATAAATTAGTTTCCAAAATGCTTTATAGCTCTTTTATAGTTAGTTAGGTTGAAATAGATAGTTCCTGTTCCTGTAGAAGCAGAACAAGAGAATACCCCACATTTCAATCTATGTAAAGAATTTGGAGAGCCACCGAGAACAGTTACAAACACACACACAGCTCCAGGAAAGAAAATGATACTGATAATGACAGGAGTACTGTCAGAGCTGTCAAGAGCTGTCCGATTGCAAGGAAGCGGAATTGCTATGATTTTTACTCTGATTCTTTTCAGTAGATGAAACTGATTACTGGTCTTCATCCTACATTCCATATTCCTTGATTTTGTTGACCTGGGAAGAAAAAACTCACAGCTGAGTTTAGGTTATATCCTTAAATGGGGCTTAGACATTGATTCTGGTAACCAAACTCTTCACAGAACGGGAAGTGCACAGCCCTTCATTTTGCCGCCACCCAGGGAGCCACCGAGATTGTCAAACTGATGATATCTTCCTATTCTGGGAGCAGCGACATTGTGAATGCCGTGGACGGAAACCAGGAGACGCTGCTTCACAGGCAAGCTACCGCCTTCCCATCTGGGTACAGTTTCGGTTTCCAGGTGTTACATTATCCCCGACTGGAAGCACTTGTACAGCAGAGACTCTGCAGTTCAAAAGGAAAGAACAGGGATAGCAAAGGCCCTGGGTTCAACTGGGAATTACCGGCTCCTTTGGAATCACAGAACGTTAAATAGATTGTTCATGGCATAAGATCTCCAGTGCTGCATTTCACGTCAATTCTTAGTCCAGTGGCTACAGCCCCGGGATTAGCTGTCTGTATGCTCAGGAGGTCAACAGACATGGCTTTCCACACCCTTTCTAATCTGTTCCTCCTGTGTGTCTTATCCTCATTTTTAGTGCAGATATATATGGATGTTTCATTTCCCCCCGCCCCCCCCCATTTCTCTGTCCGCCCACTCCCACAATTACAAATGTTTTCAAAACATACCGCTTTAGGCAATGAAAGTCAAGCCCCAAACAAGATCAATATTGCTGTGGAGTTTCACAGAAATCCACATGAGAGAAAAAAGCATCTGACACTGCTAGGACAGGAAACAGGCAGTGTAGACTGAGAGCTCAATTCCTTTGGAAAGAAAAGGACTAAAATGCCTCCTGTGTGAGTGAAAGAGGTGGTGGAGATGAGCCTTCTCAGCCCATCTCTCTGTTACACACACACACACACACACACACACACACACACACACACACACACAGCTGTGAGCATGCTGGTAGCCTGGAATGGCAGAAGGGAGCTGACATATACCTACTGGAAATCTACAATATCCGTGAGGGAAAAAGAAACTCTAGCTACCAATATAAGACCTGGTTCTAAATTGGGGAGATGGGGAATCAACGTACACATTGGCAAACTACCAGGCCACTGGGATACGCCTGGATGGAAAGAACGCTAAGGAGTCCCACTTAGGATGAGTTTGCAAATAAAATTTCAACACATAAAGGAAAACGTACAAAAGACAACAAAATCAACAAAAGGCTATTTTCCATCCATGGAAATAGACATTATAGGGTAATCTGAAAATAAGAAGGATATTTAAGACTTTCATAAATTTAAAGGAATGGATAATCAGTTATGTAACAATAGATTAAGCTAAAAGAGAAGAAACAAATTTATGAATCAAAGATTGTTACATGAAAATGACCCAGTGAGAAGCCCTAGAAATGAAAACAAAAAATAGCCTTTGAAATAAAACAAAAACTCAATAGATAGACTAACCTCTAGACTGAAGATACGCCAGCTGCTGCACATTAGAATCATACGAGGAACTTATAAAATCCCAAGGTCA